GGGGGGGGGGGGGGGGGGGGGGGGGGGGGGGGGGGGGGGGGGGGGAACATGCCTGTGGACGATGGCCCCACCACCCCCTGAGGAAGGGGCTGCAGGAGAGGGACGGGGAGATGCCAGGACAGGACAGGGGTCCCCTTGGGAGCTTTGTCTGTGTTCATTAATTTAGCTCTGTAATTAGCACTAGCAGGGAGGGGTGGGGGCAGATGATGGCAGTCCCTGGTTATCCCCATCTCCAGCATCTCCTCCTGTTCCCAGGCCCAGCAGAATCAGCAGAAGCAGGCACGGGTCCTGGGGATGGGAATATGGGGGGGGAGGGCAGACAGAGACCCCCACTCTCTGTGTCTGGCAGATCTACCGGCGCTGCTGGCTGGTCTTCAGGAAATCCTCCAGCAAAGGGCCCCAGCGCCTGGAGAAGTACCCGGATGAGAAGTCTGCATGCCTGCGTGGGTGCCCCAAGGTGAGGGGGTGTGCTTCAGGGGTGCTCCCCACTGCTGGGGGGACCCTCGTGCCAGAGCACGTCCCCCCTTGCCTCAGCTTGCTGGGTGGCTGTTGCCCCACGTGCTCCAGTGGGATGCAGCTGGGTCTGGGCTCAGCAGGGAACAGGGTCTGGGTGCAGGGGTTGACAGGGTCCGGGAGCACTGCAGGAGTGTGGGTGCAGCCCTCAATGTCCCCCCCCAACCTCCCCTGCAGGTCACTGAGATCAGCAACGTCAAGTGTGTCACCCGGCTGCCCAAGGAGACCAAGAGACAGGCCGTGGCCATCGTTTTCACCGACGACTCCGCCCGGACCTTCACCTGCGACTCAGGTACGGGGGCAGCGCCCAGGGGAGCCAGGCTGGGGGTGCTGGGTGAGGCACCCTGGCTTGGCCAGGGTCGCCCAGGGGCTGCCGTGGTGCCTTGCAGAGCTGGAGGCGGAGGAGTGGTACAAGACGCTGTCAGTGGAGTGCCTGGGCGCCCGCCTGAACGACATCAGCCTGGGGGAGCCCGACCTGCTGGCGCCCGGCGTGCAGTGCGAGCAGACGGGTGAGCGTGGCGGCGGGGTGCCCGCCCGGGGCTCCACCTCGCCGCGCTACACCCCCCACAGATTAGTTTATTTTCTGTTGTTTGTTTTTTGTTTTTTTTTTTTTTTTTTTCCCCAGACCGGTTCAACGTGTTCCTCCTCCCCTGCCCCAACCTGGACGTTTACGGCGAGTGCAAGCTGCAGATCACCCACGAAAACATCTACCTCTGGGACACGCACAACCCCCGGGTGAAGCTGGTCTCCTGGCCCCTCTGCTCCCTGCGCCGCTACGGCCGCGACGCCACCCGCTTCACCTTCGAGGCCGGGCGGTGAGATGTCACCCCTGCCGGGACGGGGATCAGTGCTGGGTGCTTTCACCCAGCTGGGTGCTCCAGGAGATGGCACTGCTGCCATCACCACAGGGCAGGCCCGAGGCTGGGGTGATAGCCACGGCCCATATAGGGTGCCCCAAGGTGGGGGGGCGTTTGGAGCTGGTTCTGGTCCCAGCTCAACACCGTGAAGGGGACATAGGGACAGACCCAGGGTGGGTTTTGTTTGTCACCCCTGGAATTGAGGACCCCGGTGACATTCCGTGCCCCGTCCGTGCAGGATGTGCGACGCAGGGGAAGGTCTCTACACCTTCCAGACGCAGGAGGGTGAGCAGATCTACCAGCGCGTGCACAGCGCCACGTTGGCCATCGCTGAGCAGCACAAGAGGGTCCTGCTGGAGATGGAGAAGAATGTCAGGGTGAGCTTCAGCCTGCCCCGTGGCAGGAGCACAGTAGGGGGAGACTCAGAGGGCCCTGTGTCACCCATCTCCACCTCTCATCCACCGCAGCTGCTGAACAAAGGCACTGAGCACTTCTCCTACCCCTGCACCCCCACCACCATGCTGCCCCGCAGTGCCTACTGGCACCACATCACCGGCTCCCAGAACATGGCTGAGTCCTCCAGCTATGCCGGTGAGTGTCCCTGCTCCCCTGCCAAGGAGCTGCTGCTCCTCCAGCCCCCAGGGCTTTCCCCACTGGGTGAGCCCACCCTCTGCTTTGTCCCCAGGGGAGGCGTATGCGGGCGCCCAGGCCAGCTCGGACACCGACCTCCTCAACAGGTTCATCTTGCTGAAGCCAAAGTCCTCCAAAAGCGACAAGCCTGAGAGCAGGGAGCCCAGATCATCATCCCCGTGAGCTGGGGGGCGGGGGGACTGTGGCAAGGGTCCCCTTTTTCCTCCCCAGGGGGTGGCAAGGACGCAGGCAGCCACCCCTCAGAATCCCCAGGAGACCTTGACACCTCCACGCCGAGACCTTGGGGAGCAGGCGCTGGCTCGTGCCCTGGTGTCAGTGGAGGCGACGGCTGGATCAGCCCTAACTGACTTCAAATATATATTGAATATCTGTATTGTAAGAGACACTTCCTTCTCACTCGAATGCAAACGTGGTGGCTGCCGAAGAGCCCTCGGGCAGATGCTCAGAGGTTTTTGACTCTTGGGGATCCTGCTGGGAGGTGAAGAGAGGCAGTGGGGGGGATGTCAAGAAGTTTGGATTGCTTTCTTCGAGGCAGGAAGGCTGGAGCATCACCCTGCCACGGGCATGGAGCAGCGCCAGAGGATGCAGCTGTGTCAGGCTGATGGTGCGGGGTCCCACCCCCCCCCCATCCCCATGAAGAGTGGGGTGCTCCTGGGGACACCCTGCCACCCCTGAGCTGATTTTTGCACTTCAAGCTATTTAAACTCGCTGTAGAATTGAGATGTCTCAGGAGAAACTGGTTTTCCTTCCAGGGGGGTTGGATGGGTGAGCGGCCGGGCAGGGCTGAGCTCCCTGGCTTCCCCCACCCCAGCACCCCTCACTCCTCCCCCCGCAGCCGTGTGCCCCCGCTGTGCCCCTGGTTTATCTGCTGGTGGGTAACCCCGGGGCTGGTTTTGGCCAGTAGCATCTGTCTCTCAAGGGGCAGCTTTGTGGATATAGAAGTCCCAGGGCAGAGGAGCCCATGCCAGTGGGGGGAAGAGCTGCATTCCTCTGTGCATTCCCACAGCCCTCACTCCCCCCTCACCCACCGGGTACTAGCCCTTACCCGGGTGGGGAGGAACTGGGCTTTATGTGCTAAACTCAAAAGCAATTGATTTTTTTTCTAGTTCTATTTATTGACCTCCTTTAGAAGGGCTATCTTTTTATTGCCGTGCAAACCTTGGTGTTTCTTTGGAGTCTTCTTTCCGTCTGGGTCGGATGGTTGGTGGTTTTCTTTCTGCCCTTTAAAAGCTCCACGTCCATGTGTTGGGCACGGGGAGTGTTGTGATGTGGGAACCTGTGGTCTGTAAATACTGTGTCTTGGGTTGGTGTAGCTTGTGGCTGAGGCTGGGGGAATGTTGGGACAGAGAAGGGCCACTCCCTGCAGCGTGGCCGAGCACCGAGGGGCTTATCAGACCCCAGCATCGCCCAGCAGCACGTCCTCCCCTGGGTGAGAGGTGTAACTTGCTCTCCTTTCCCGGCTACACACCTCATCTGGAAAAGATTTAACATTTGTTACCAAAAACGTTTGGGTTTTCTGTTTTTTAAGGAGTTGCTCAATGAATAAACAACCCTTATGCACATCCACCCTTCCTGTTTGTCTGTTCCATCCAAGTGCGCTCGGGAAGCGCGAGTGGGAGTAGCGCCTGCCAGGGAGAAAAATGCTGATGGGGGGAGATTTCCTGAGGCTCCTGGCAGCAAGCTTGGCTCAGAGCTTTGTTCTGCCTCCAGCCACGGCCAGGACACTTCAAGTGAAGCCCTAAAATCGCTGGGACAGGGAGAAGGGTGGAGCAAGTTGCCACTCTCCATCAAGCAACCCAGAGTGAAACAGGATGCCAGCATTCCATTGTTATCCCTTGCCTCCGGCCACCCCAAGCTCCAGGGATGTGCCAGGGCAGTGGTGGCTTCAAGTCCCCAGGTGAAGGAGTTTCAAGCCATGTCATCTTCCAGCTCTCCCAGAGCTGTGCCAGGCAAGTTATCCATGCCATGACTGCCTGGCAGTGCTGGCCTCACAGCGAGACAGCCATGCCAGCCACGCAGTGCTCCCTCCAGGAACAGGCAAGGACATGGAAGCAGCAGCCTGGCTACAGCGGCTTTTCCCTGGAGGGGAAGGCAGTGCTGACACAAACTGCTCTCTCCAGCTCAGCGTGGCCCCATCACCATCCCTGAGCCACCCCCACGCCCCACATCAGGGGCACATGTGCCTTCCCCTCCCTCCCAGCCCCCATGGCACAGAAGAGGCAGGTCTCTCCAGGACAGTGTCACTGAGAAGCTCATCCCAAGCCACGCTGGGCACTGATGGAGGGGAGGAGAAGGGGTGACTCAGGTCATTGCTGGAGCCTTTAAGACACTGCCAGAGGGGTTAGGGCATGGGACCTGCACCAAGCTCCAGATCAGCACACCCTCAGGGCTATGGGCACACTGGAAGATGTCATCCAGGGTCATTCCTGACAGATCCAGCTCCTCACAGAAAGGTTATACACATACAGGGCGGTGTGTATAACTCCAGAGGAGTCTGTAAGTACAGCTCTGCCTGCCTGACCCAGCTGGGCTCCCCTGCAGCGCTGCCTTCTGCAGCATCTTGCCCACCCCGGCCTCAAACATCTGCTTGGAACGCCGGGCTGCCTGCAGGAGGGGTGCCGCTCTCCTCGGGAGATAATGTCACGAGCAGCAATCAGCATCGGCGAGCAGAGCTCCCTCCAAGGCACATCTCATTAAGTTAATGCCTATTGGAGAGAAGTAAATGATGTGACATCTCCTCCTGCAGCCCCGGCCGAGCTTTCAGGGATGACAGAAAAATGGGGGGGTAAGGCTTTATTCAGCACAGTGAGGAACGGACACGTAAATAAGGTAGGGTTGTGTAACCAAGGGACATCTTCCCAGTCGTAAATACCACACAGCCAGAACCCAAAACCAGAACCCAAACTCTGGGATCAGCTGAAGACAAAGCCTTTCCCAGGGAAGATGCTCACTGATTAATTACCTACACAACAAAATGGCTTTCCCTGGAAAGCAAGATCAGGGAAGCGTTACCAACCAGCAGAGCTGGGCCAGGAAAGGCAGAGGGAGATGGGGAGGTAACAGCCTCTCCCCAGATCAGGGCCAGGCAGAGGCAAGGGGCCCCCTCAGTTAATGGTGAGGACGTCGCTCTGAATCTCGTGGCTCAGCTGGGTCTGGAGGTCGCTCAGTTTCTTCTTTAGGCCGGACAGTGCGGACAGGACGATGGTCTCGGGGCGCAGAGAACCACAGGACTCCACATTGTAATAGAACCTGAGGTTACAAATCAAGGGTTTAAGTCACCATCTGCCCTGCACGGAGGTGCAAGCCCAGGGTGCAGGCACAGAGCAGTTCCAGCCCATCCCGACCTGCCGGAATTCCAACCATCAGCATCGTTCACCTCCCAACCAGGCAACAGCCAGCACTGTCCCTCTACAACTGTCACACCAACACTCACAACTTCACAGGCCACAAGAGCATTTCTGAGATTGATTTCTGCTCAGCATCATGACCTGTGAGCCAGCACGGAGCCCCTTGCCAGGGAGTAAGGCTGGCTGAGCCACTTCTGCAGTGCAAATAACACTAGCAGTCAGAGCACAACACACATACAGGTGAATAAATACCCTAAGCCACTTTCCCCCTGCAGGCCTCACACTTCACCAAGTGTGCACCACCCTAGCTGGCAACACGAACTCGGGAGAGCTGTCTATTATCTCCCAGAGCGAAAAACCTGCCAGATCTGGGCATATCACCAGTTAACTCCAATTCTGCCCTGCTTTTCAGAGAACATCAGCTCCCTGGGCTGGCAACTTCAGCACAGAGTAGACATTTTTCTATTAATAAGAGAGGATGAGATGCACCCAACCAGCCAGCCCACCTTGCAGCTGTGGCAGTGCATTCAGCTCCCTACCTCTCTGGCTTCCCGTTGGGGTCATAGGGAGCCTGAGCATCCTCGTCGTCGATCTCCGAGTACTCACTCTTGGGCCTGGAATCAGAGAGCAGGACAGGTTAGCACAGAGCCCCTGCTCTGGCCTGGCCCCACAGAGCCCAGGCACTCAGTTTGGCCCCAGAGAGCGAGCAGGGGGCTCGTGCCCAGCACACAACACGGTGCTCATCACACAATAAGTCACAGAAAAAAAGCTCAGTCCCACATTGCCCTTCCTGGCTCCTCTTTAATGCCACAGGGTCACTGAGCAGTGATGGAGGAAGGGGATCAGCCCTGCTCTGCCCAAACTCATTCAGTCCTGTGCAGGGAGCACTGTGGCTCCATCCACACACACTGGCACAATCTGGCAGGTGCTCACAGTGAAGGGATGCCAGGGCCTGAAGGGACTGTGTTTATGGAGGCTTGATGCATTTACAGAGTAATGGACCTTGTGTTATCTTTTCTTTCCACTTTCCACTAGGCCAGGAAAGCACCAGAGCACCCCAGAGCTCAAGTCTGTGGAGCACAGCTGAGGTGGGAAAGTACAGTTGGCTTGGATTCAGCAGGAAAGAACCTCCTGTACCTCAAACACCATCTGCATCAGTGAGCTCCATCCTCATGTCCTGCATCTCCACTCCTCTATCAAAATCACTGAAATACCCAAGCATCAATTAGGCAAATACATCTTTCTACCCACTGCACCCCTTGGTTTATAGAGCACCATACCAGAGACTCTGTGGGAGCACTTAATCTGGGTAAGAAAAGCCTTGAGCTGTCTGAAAAGCCAGTACAGAAAATCCTGTGCCCACCAAGGTCTCCTGCTGGCCTTCCTCTGCCCCAGCAATGCCCAGAAATGCTGATCCCGGCACCTTGTCATCAGCTGCGTGAAATAAAACTGCATTTCTCAGACCAAACCCTCTGCCTGTATAAACCACTGAGAGAGATAAAAGTGTTAATGGAGCTGGGACTCCTCATGACTTGCAGAACCACTCATGGCTTGAAACGGTGCCGAGGTTACCACCACCACCACGGCAGCTGTTTGGAAAGTCCAGCTGCATGCCAGTGCTCTGCCAACAGCCTCAAAAAGCAATTACCATGAAAAACTAAACCAAAAATCATAGCTAGCCTTGGACAGCAGAAGCCTTTGGCTCTGTATTGTCTTCACAGCAAGGTCAGATGAACTTGGAAAGACAGATGTATCATCAGGGAACTGGCAGCTACAACGCCAATCTTCCTTTCAGATTTTTCCAACTTTTACATACATTTTGTCAAGGGCTTCTCAGAAACTGTTTCCAGGTGCCCTGGTTGTTGTATACCACACCAGACTCTGACCCTGCCACGAAACAAAAGA